GATAAGGAGATTGTTTTGCAGAAATTATATTACCAACCTGAAAGTTATTACCAAAATGCTAAAAGATTGCAAGATGCTTGTAGAAAGGCTAGATATAACTTTCTACTTGCTACAATAAAAAAATAGCTTGAGTCTCAGAAAATGTATCAAATTTATTGTCTCTTATCAAAGAATATGCCTTATACTAGTTATTCTAGAATCTCAAAACCTAATTGTGTTTATCAGTGTGACTTAATTGAGATACTTTATGATAAAGATGAGTATATAAATTTATTGAATGAAAATAGTGAAATATTTTATTATGTATTATTAGTTATAGATTGTGCAAGTAGATATAAAAATTTTGTTTTTTTAATATCAAAAAGTAGTAACGAAGTTGCAGAAGCATTTAAGAGTATATATGATAATCCCGATAATCCCCTCAACTGGTCTCGAAAACTCCATGTGATAAGGGCACTGAGTTTATAGGATACATGACTTTATTAATGTATGAACATGATGTTAAAATCCAAAGAATTATAGCACATTTCAGACATACAAGCTTGGCTATAGTCGACTATTATACTAAATTATTCGAATTAAGAGTTTTTAAAAATCAGTATGTGATAGAATTTCTCTTACCTACTGGTGAACGCTATAGAGAGTGTAAGCGATTTGCATAGAAAATTGTTGATAATATGAATAATACTCCAACTTGATTAATTAGAATAAGCTCTAATAGTGCTATGAAGCTTGAACAGATATATTCCAAGCCATCAACAAAGTATTATCATCTAGTAGATGCTGATGAGCCATAGTTATCAAAGAGAACTATAGTTTGATTTTTACTTGCTTCTGGTGAATAGGAAAATGTTCTCTTTGAATAACGAAGAATAACAGATCCAATATAGAGTCCAAGCCTTCATAAAATTCAGAAAATTGTTAAAAAAAATCTACCAATGCCTGTATTATATTATTTAGATAAAACAGGTTCTCAGTGTCCTTTTGTATGAGAAAAATTAATGCATATTAAGGAGAAACCTATACTATCTCCCAGGTGGGTCTTGGAAGATAACTGAATGTATTCAAGGCATACTTGATGAAAGTTGGCAAATCAATAATGCAAAAAGAGATTGTGATAAGAATTATACCCTTCTTAAAACAGAGTGCTCTCTTTCTTCAATTGCGTTGAATTTGTGAATCTAAATTAATTTGCCCTTGTAGATAGAAAAATGGAATAATTTAAAAATGTTGATTATCACTATATTTGAAGACCAAATGTAATTCTTTATTATACCTATCTAGTTGTAAGCCTTCTAAAAATTTGGATTTTCAAGATAGAAATTTTTTATGCAATAATTTTTTGAATATATATTGACATGTCTTTTTAAATATATGAGGACAACTATTGCACTACCTATAATTTCGTTTCATATTTCTATAGGATGCTTCCTATCAATACTGATTTTTACAAACTCATAAATAAATATTAGGGTTTGATCTAACTTTAGCCAAGTATTGTCCTTTACATCTTTTGGCATAGGTAAGGGCTTTAGTATCAATTTTATTATAATCTTGCATTTTTATAATATTAGAATTTAACTTGAATATTTTAGTTAATTATACCCTGGGAGTATCACTTTTTTTTGAACTTGAGAAAAAAAAAAAAAAAGAGTATAAGAGTATGAGCGAGACTGACTTCTTAAAATATAAGCAAAATTTTAAGACTAAGATAGGTGTACCTATACTCTGCACAAAAAGGAATTGAAAAATAAATCTTTGGCACTTATTGAATATATGTAACTATTGTTTAAGATAATATTATCTAGTTTTAGTAGTAATTTCTGAAGCAAAAAGATTGCTACATTTAACTAGTTATTTATTTCAAGTAGGGGGTTTTTGTCACCTCTTACAATAAGTATAAGAAAAAATTCAAATAAAAAATTAATGCTTTCGATACCTAGACAATATAAAGGAACTTTTGTATCATGTAATTTTTATCGGACTCAAACTTTATATATCATCAAACAAGTATCGAAAAAGTGATATGCAAAAGTAGGCTTGAAAAGCCATGATTCTTTGAATCGTCTAATAGCCTGCTCGCAATAGAAAAAAATTGAGCTTTAATATATTATTTAGGTAGATATCAGCAGAGCCAGTATGAAGTACTAAAAAGTGATATACAAAGGTTATTAAAAAGTGATACGCAAAGGTAAGAAAAAATTTGAGCTTTTACGTATTATTAGGTAGGTATCAGCGGAGCTAGCATGAAGTGCCAAAAAAGATGAAATACAATAGTAAGAAAAAATTAAGCTTTTATATATCATCAGGTAGATATCAAAAAAGTGATACACAAAAGTTAGCGGAAAAGTGATATGCAAAAAAATACATATAAGTATAACCTGATTTTTTTAGTATCTTATATTAGCTTCACTACTGTAAAGTAGCAATATTCGAACTACTAACTATGCGAGAAGAGCTTTCAAAACTGAAAAATAAAGATTAGATAGTATAATTCAGATACAAAAAAAGTGATATACAAAGGCAGAATATTATAAAGAAAGAGATAAAATAAATTTTTTGCTTTTACGTATTGCCAAGTAAGAGTAATAATTCAGTACTACATACCTCATCCTCAGGTAATATAATAGATAACAATTCAGCACTACATGCCCCAACTTTGGCCCTCATCAAGAAATTAACCAGAAAGCTAGAGCACTACGTGTGATGACAGATATATGATCCTATCATTACTCAAATGATGATGCAAGTGTAAATTGTTCATCACTCAAATGATGGAGCAAATACTAATATATCTCTGACGACGCAAGCGCGAATCATTTGTCGCTCAAATAATGATGCAAGCTTAATAGAAGTCAAAATGAGTAGCTATAAAAGAAGTAGGTAACAATATACTTATAAGTAGATAACAATATTTTCTTATAAATAGATAACAACCTAATGTAAGTAGGTAGCAATATATATATATTGTTACCTACTTCAGAACTTCATAAGTGTATTTCTATAAGTGCACACCCTCTATAAATACACTATAAGGTCCAGTCCCAAGCTGGGACTATAGTGTTAAATGCACACTCTCTATATTCTGCATGTGCATTTGATTTTGCTATTAAAGTACTCTCCGTAAATGCACTATCATGTGATTATAGATCGTCTTAACCAATAAAATTTGAACAACTTGCAAAGTAGTTAACCCAATATATAATTAGGATTTATATAAATAAATATAAATACTAAATAGGGTATAGATCAAAAATACAATAATATTACATAGAACAATTGGTAATTGAAAATGGTAATTAAAATAAGATTAGTTTAAATAAATAAGCTACTGGAAATTACAGACTTTTTATAAGGATTATCAAATAAATTTTAGAAATAGTCTTATATAAAAGCAGAATCAAGTAAAAAAAAAACTTTTATATTCACTTATCAACTCAAAAAAAAAAAAAAAAAAAACCCCCCGGCTATAGAAACTTATCTGAACTAAGTAACCTGTCACTATACTTAACTGAAACAAGTAACCTGTCACAAAGCGTGAAAGATTCATAGATACCTGCAAGTTTATTATACCAGTATATAACAAGCCTAAAAAGAAAGACCCAGTCTCTATACTATAATAAATCTGGATTAATTAAATTTATATCTAGATTATATCTTAAAATCAATCATTAGAAAAATCTAAATTAAATCAATCGTTTCAAACTACAACCTTTTTTAATTAACTCTTTCAATAAATCTTTTAAATGATTAAAAAAAAAAACAAAAAAAAATTTGAAAGCATATTTAATAGTAATCGTAATGCTTTGGTGATTTCTAAATTTTATCTAAGCAAAAAAAAAAAAATTCTTCTATATAATATTTCTTGCAATGCTAAAAAGAACAACTCTAACAGATACTCAAAAATTTGAATTCTGTATTTATGCTCGTGATAACAAGAGAACCTGTTCAGAATATGTAAAGTGAATTGAGAACAAGTGGGGAGTTAAAGTTAATGAGTTTACAATTACACAAATTTTGCAAACTAAGGATCAAAAGCTTTCAAATGAAGTTACAAGTCCAGAGGCTAAGCATCATAAAGCTGTTGCTATTCCAGAGCTTGAGCTTGCATTCAAGGAATTTATACTAATATATCAGAATCGTACTATCCTAAGTGATGCTATGATAGTTGAAAAGACCAAATTGTTAGCAGAGGAACTTGGTGTTTCTGAAGGCAAGTTGCATTTTTTAGCCAGGTGGCTTCAAAAATTTAAAGAACAAAATGAGATCCGTCAAATAAAGCTTTATGAAGAAGCATCATCCATCGATAAGGACATTGTCACTGAATCTTTACCATTGTTGCAGAATAAATACACTGGATACTCTCTTGACCGCATATATAATATAGATAAAACAGGACTTTTTTACCGGTAGCTTTTTTTTAAAAAAAAATTCTTTGATAGAATTTTTTTTAATAATTTTTTTTTATTGCAGGTTGGAACTGGATCGAACCTTAGCAACACAGCAAATTGCAGAGTGCAAAAAGGATAAGAAATGTTTTTCTGTTGCATTATGTGCAAATGCTGATGAGTTTCACAAATTATCTCCCCTTATAATTGGCAAATATACCAAATCAAGATGTTTCAAAAATATAAAAATTAATAATTTGCATATGACATACAGAAATAATACTAAAGCTTGGATGCTTGTGGTTCTTTTCCAAGAATAGCTTCAGGAATTTGACTATCAGATGTTATGGAAGCATAATAGCTAGCACATTCTTTTACTTCTTGAAAATTGCTCTAGTTATAAATTAGATAGGTTAACTCTTCAGCATGTAGATGTTTATTTTTTTTCTAAAAATACAACATCAAAGTTATAACCAATGGATACTAAAGTAATTATGGCTTTTAAAAAAGCCTATCGTCAGTTTTATCTCCAGTTAGTTAGAAGTTAATTTAAAAATTAGAACTATTTTTACTTTTTTATTTTATTTATAGTTTTTTTACAGTTAGGCTATATATACTTAATATTTTGGTTTTTATAATATAAAAATTTTTAAATAAATCTAGCTGGCTAGCTTTTTTTTCTTAAAAGTTTTTAAATTTTAACTTGGCCATGTTATGAAGACCAATTAATTTTGCATGGTCTTATTAAATTAAATTTTTTTTAAAAAAATTTAAGTGGATGTTAGAGCAAGTAGAAGCAGGAAATCTTGTTCAAGATCTAAAGATAAATGTTTTATAGACGGTTCTATATATTATAAAGGGTTGGAAAGAAGTTTCAGTTGATACCATATACAATTGCTGGAATCATACTCAAATTCTTCTACCTAGTATAGGTTATTTGAATAATCTTCATGAAACTAATGATTCAGAGCTTAGAGATCTTATTAGTTTACTTGATACATTTTGCCTTTCCAATACAATGAAGGTTGATGAATTTCTTAATATTAACAGTGAAGAAGTTATTTATGAAGTCCCCCCAGAAGATCAGGCTATTAAAGAGCTAGCTTATATATTCAAAAATGATAAAAACATTGAAGCTATAAATGATGAAAGTATTGAAGTAATAGATGATAAAATGGATGACAGTATAAAGTCTGTAATTATTAGTAGTAGTTCAGCATTAAATAGCTTAGAAAGTGTTTGGATGTTTTTGTTGTAGCAAGAAGGTTCTAATAAGCAATTAAAGTCAATTAATTTTCTTAAGAAATTTATCAGAAGGGTGATGTCAAATTTAGCTCTGCAAACCTGCATAGACGAGTATTTTAAATAGACTACAGTACTGTAAAAAGAAAGTAAGTGAATGGATTCTTTTTAATAAGTTACTTTACAGAATCTTTATATTTTTTAAAATATGATAATAATATAATTATTATATAATTAATATTAATTATGAAAAAAACAAACACAACTCTCCCTGACGATCCCTTATACCAACTTTTCCAAAAAGACTAACCTACGAAAACTATATAGTTAATATGTTTAAATACTACAAAACTTCACTAGTAGCAGCAGAGAACAATGGCTATTCACTGCATGTTGGCATAAATGAAATAGATTTGAAAAGAGTCACCCTTGAAAGTGAAGTCACCTGGCAGAAGACTATGGTGCTACCAAGCAAAGAAGTAGCAGATAAGCTTTGGAGCTTTGTTAAGTACTATAGAAGTCTCGGCAGAAGTAGTTACTTAGTTAGATGTAATACTCTGTATAGCGTAAC